ATGACAGTTTTTAAAAGCCAGTGAGGACTCGAATACCCATTTGCGACCCTGTGTTGCTTATGCTACAGGAGCTTGGTTTGTCTCATAAGACAATGCAGTAGGGAGCATGGTTGGAGCAGAATCTTAGTAACAAGATCTAGCTGTGGGGTGAGCAATAAAATGGCAGTACTTCACCAGGCTTAGCCCCTGGTCTGCCACCACTATATTTAATAGCATCTCTGCAGGTACAGGCAATTACAGCTCCCACTGGCCAGGAACAGCGATGCACAGTCAACATGAACCATGATCCTCTAGCTGCAGAGGCACAGGAAAAACAGTGATTTGGAAGCCTGACTGGACCTGTGGTATTTCCTCACCCCCAATCTAGCTACATATTCCCACCATGAGTTTTATTTAGGTTTGTATTCATAATAAGCTAAGTAAATATGTGAGGACTGAAGTGTTAAGTAACGTAAAAACTAATACCAAAAATTTAAATCCGATCCTCAGAGGCATAGACAGCTGGTGTAATTACAGCAAACAGTGACAAGCAAGATTCCCTGGAAGGTGCGCGCCTGCATGGGGGCATACCAAGAATTTCAGTCCTGTCCATGCCCCGCCCCCAGGAGAGCCATGCAGCCTTGGCCCCAGCTGTTCTCAGGGGCAGGGCAGGGCCTCATGGCGGGTGGCTTCCCCACCCCAGGAGCAGCTACCGCATGGCGGCTTCTGGAGCTTTGGCTGCAGTACTAAAAATAGCCACAGCTCCAGTCCTGGCACTCGGGGCAGCCACCTGCCACATGGTCCAGCCCCTGGGAGCATCTGGGGCCATGGCTGCCGGGGCTGGGACTGCAGTGCTATTTTTAGTACCATGGTACCATCCCCAGCTGCCACACAGCCCCAGCCGCTCCCAGGGCTGGGCCATGTGGCAGGTGGCTGCCCGTGTGTCAAGACTGGAGCTGGTCTGCAGTGCAGCTATTGCTGGGCTGGGGCTATGGTACTAAAAATAGCACCATGGCCCTGTCTCCAGCCCCGGCACACAAGGCAGCTGCCAGCCATGCTGCCCTGCCTGACAGGTGCAGGTGTCAGGATGGCAGAAGGTAAAGAATGGGCAGAGCAATGACTAAGGGGAGGGTGAAGGTGAGAAGAGAAAAGGGCTTGTGCTGAGGGGAGAGGAAGGGGCTAGGGCAGGAAAAAAGGGGAAAGTCCCAAGGGGCAGAGTGGAGGAGAGACAAATGCCAGGGGGCCAGGAGGAGACAATGAGGGGAAAGGGCAGGGGGGAGGAGATGGGAAGGTGTCAGTGGGGGTGGGAGAAGAGAGGGAACAGGTCGATACTGGGAGAGGGGCGGGGCAATGGGGGCAAGAGGAAGGAAGAGGAGAGGGGTGGAGTGGGTGCCAGAAGAAGAGGGGTTGAAAGGAGGGTGGGCATGAGGAAGGCCGGGGTTGGAACAAGTAATGTGTGAGGGCACAGAGGGGCATAAGGAGAACGGGGG